AAGGATAATAAGATACTTTCAAACATATCCATTGATTTTGTGTGTGTACTATATTTTCTGGAACACTGGAGGCAGCATAACGAAAATCTATATGCTTGTAGATTATAACAAGATACCAAGTTTCAGAGCACGGACAATAACTGGAATGTCCAAAAAAAGAAAAAAGAAAAAAAATGACCCATGGATGAGGTCATCAGTACTTGATGAATTTGAAAATTTTCCTGACGTAACGACTCAATAGTTATAGAATATAGTAATTTCCTGTTTGATACATAATGAAGTGGAAATACTAGAGGGCATAAATGCTAATTTGCCTTCAATCCATGATTCAAAATCTCATGTTTCATCTCAAGATAATTAGCTTTCAATGAGACCTTTGTAAGTGCCTGAAGGATTCATTAAAGGATAAAAAGATACTTTCAGACATATTACATCCATTGATTGTGTATGTGTACTTTATTTTCTGGTCGTAATCACAGTGATTTTTCATGATTTTCAAGCAATTTCAAGAGTAGATTATTACGAAAAATGTATGAAAATATTGTTAAACATACTAAAAATAAGATATTTGAATGTGTGATGGGCATTAGCAAGAAGAAGCATAAAAAATACTAACAGACGGGATTAAAACTAGAAATATCGCAATCTGTATCCCCCGGCAGTGGCAACCATTTTGTGTCATCCTTATGTTGGAAGGAAGGACAAAAATCCCCTCTCCCCTCTCTGAAACAAAAAGATGACTTGGAGATGATCACTAGGAGTAGCATCACCAAAACAATGTGTGTAGATTAGAGTATAATGCATTTCTGTAGAAAGTATGAAAGAAATGTGTCAAGAAATGTGGCAGTTAGAGCACACAAAAGACAGCCACCAAAATATGACCGGCGGTGGCGGGGGCGAACATGGCGTAACGCTGCTCAATCCAAAGTACCTCACCAGCGTACTGCCGGGGGATACAATAAAAAGTTTGTTGGCATACTATATTTTGGCAGGGCATTCTACAAAAATTAAAACTAATTTTATTATTTACTATGTAAATCAGAAAAATCAGAACTGATTTTATTATTTACTATATAAATCAATGTATCTACCTATTATTTGCTACGCTTTGGACATGTTGCTGGGCAAGGAGAGGGAACAGAGGGATAGGTAGATAGATTTATATAGTAAATAATAAAACCAGTTCTGATTTTTCTGATTTACCACAATAAATCAATGTATCTACCTATTATTTGCTAGACCAGCACAGAAAGGACCGGGAGGCATGTCCCAAAAAGAAGGAGATTACTGGGGATTAATGGCAGAACACCTCCCCAGAGGAAACGTCCCTGAGATAAAAGAAATGGAAGACCGCCAAATGTGATGCAATTCCTTTACTCTATTACTGTTTTCACACTGGCAATATTTTGCTTAACCCCGTACTATAGGTGGGGTTAAGGGGGGGGGGGGGGTCTTAGCCCCACCTATAGTACGGGGTTAAGCCTATTCCACTTTCTGTTCAGACTGGTTTTTACCAAAGTGGGCTAAAGTTGGCTAACCCCACCTATAGTACGGGGTTAACTAACCCTGCAAAATAGCAGGGCTAACTCCGCAATTGTGGTGCTAACTCCTGCTAACCCCGCAATTACGATGTTAAGCAAATGAATGAGAACAGAAACGAAAAATAGTCCGGTACTACGCAATGGAGCGTATCGCAGCTGGCCAGATGCGAAGTATGTCCAATCATAACATACACGATATCCGGGGTTAACGAAATGCAGTGAGAACAGCGGAAATTTTCTTACTCCGGAATAGGCGCTAGTACGGGACTAAAAACAGCGAGTGTGAAAAGCCAAAAAAATAGTCCGGGGTTAAGGATAGTACGGGGCTAAGCAAAGTACGGGTTTAAGCAAAACCAGTGTGAAAAGAGTATATGTGTAAATGTCCATTTTACTTTCAGCTAAAGTATTTGTCCTTTTCAATCTGGATAAACATAAAAAGATAATTCTGTGAAATTGAGAAAATCATCCTGTACATGACTGATTGTTATCTCATAATTCCTTCTATAATATTCAATCGGTGGTTATTTTAATTTTCTGGGTTACCCCCTTTTTTCTTGTTCAAACATCAAGCAACCAAGGTTAACCAAATATACAGAACAAGGTAATATAAACAAGAGGTGAGGATTTATCTTTTTAAGTCAATGTTTTATTGATTTTTCTTTGTGCATGAATTTCAATACAGATTCAACATCCATGAACTAAAAACATTATGAATTTATAAATCTTTATTTTACATTTACATCCATTCCCTTTATCTTTCCCTTCATATAAAGGGTTAAGAATATATGTTCTTATAAACCTTCATGAAATCAACTAAACTTCAGGGCAATTCCCTCATCCTATTATATTGCCTAGACTCCCTAGATAAATCAGGTTTGATTTTTGTAAGATACATTTACACTGCAAGCAGAAACCATCATTTTGTTCACATTCCTGACTTGTGTTGGAAGTTGCTAGGCAACTATCCAAAACCACAATTAAAACCAGAGTTAAAAAAACTCCTACCTCTGGAGTTTGGGTTTTTGAAACGCAATTGAAACTCCACTAGTTTTTGCAGCATAAATGCTCACTCTCAAGCACTGTCTGTAGCTCTGTGCCAGGCGACACCCACCCGTGCCCGGAAGAGCGCCAACATGGTCCCAGCTCACTCACACACTGGATGTCGACTGACCATTCAGAAACTAGAACTATATAGCCTACCGTAATTAACGTTGTATTAACCGCACTTTTTTGCCGCCAAATTTTTTTTTTTTTAAAGTTTCGATTTATGCCCCTCCACCTGGCACCATATGCCTGGCAATGTCTCCCAGCTCAGTAATCTGTGTGTTGACCACTCGGAAACTACAACAACACTCAAATTTGGCTGTCATCTTGGTTTGAAAGTAATCCTAATAGATCAAAATATGTAGTTTACAATAATAATTCCTCAAATTTTTCTTCTTTTACATGGAGTACCACCAGGTTCTATCCTAGGTAATCTACTGTTTTTAATTTACATCAATGATCTTACACATTCTTCTAAAAAACGACATTGTTACTATAATTTGTGACAAGTTCACAAACACAAATTGGCGCCTTCAACTGTACCTCGATGTTAAATGAAAGTCCTTCCCCGCATGGGTTTTCGGCAACGAAACAAAACAAACAAAAAAAACAACAACATAGGGGTGCGCCTTATACACAGGTGCGCCTATTACACGGAGATTTACGGTATTTAAAAAAATGACATTCTTAATATTATTTGTGCCAATTTCACAATCACAAATCAGCGCCTTCAACTTCACCTCGTAGCAAAATGAAAGTCGCTTGGCTTTTCAAACATACTAAGGTGTCTGCTAAAAAAGCCACTTTTTCTTTTTTTTTTTGTCTTAAAAATAGGGGTGCGTCTTATACACAGGTGCGTCTTATACACAGAGATTTACGGTAGTTGAGTTCTAAATATGCTTACTCTGTTAAAGCGAGACTGTCTTGAATCATCAATGAAAGATTGATTACATATATATCACATAATAAATAAAAGTTAAGTGTACAACAAGGTTTTGGAATTATCAATATGATAAGAACTTGACACATTCTTAAACTAGGATAGATAGATAGATAGATATAGATAGATAAATAGATAGATAGATAGATATATATATACAGTATACATGTGGTACATTGGTACAATCTTATATTTCTTAACTCTCACAAATAAAAGAACCATACAAAGTGTTTGAATAATAAACAAGGGAAACGCTCTCGGCGGTCTCGCCTGCATAACGCAATTCAATATGATAAACCAGAACATCAATGACGTAGCGCTCATCCAGATCTCGCAACAACAAATATCGTAAATTTTATATGGTACACTTTTGAACTGGTCAAAAAATAAAAATCTGATGTCCTGAAAGGGACATAATTTCATTTGATTTGCATAAAGTACCAAAAATAATCAATGGAGCAAAATCTCACAATTCTGCGTAGAAGTTTAGTGTTCCAAATTTAGCTCTACCAGATGGGGGAAACCAAATCAAAATTGGTCAAGAAATGAGGGAAAAGAAGCAATTTTTGTTATTTTTGGAATAAATTGGCATAAATTACAACAATTAATTAATGGAGAACAATTTCGAAATTCTGTGTAGAAGGTTAGTGTACCAAAGTTAGCTCTACGATATAAAGCAAACCAAATCAAAATCGGTTGAGAAATGAAGGAGAAGAAGCCTTTTTTGTGATTTCGAATAAATTTGCATAAATTAGCATAGATAATGAATTTTAAGATTTTGTGTAGAAATTTTAAATCCCCCTCCTAGTCCTATCATATGAAACAATCAGAATCAAAATCGGTTGAAAAATAACGAAAAAGAAGCATTTTGAAAATCTTGAAAATGACCTTTGACCTTAACTTAGTGACCTGAAATTCTATTTACATGATTGGGGAGACTTGATAACCCTATAGTCTAAGTTTCATTGACTAAGAACTTATACTTTCAAAATTATATCAAAAATTCAAAAACTTAACCTTAGGTTAAGTTTTCGATGATGATGCTACAACATAGTCCAAGTCTGTTGACCTGAAATGACCTTTGACCTTGACTTTGTGATCTGAAATTCTACTCACATGATTGGGGAGACTTGATTACCCTAAAGTCAAAGTTTCATTAACTAAGAAAACTTAACCTTAGGTCAAGTTTTTGATGTTGACGCCGCCGCCGCCGCCGCCGTAGTCGTCACCGGAAAAGCAGCGCCTATGTCTCGCTTTTTGCTACACAGGCGAGACAAAAACAATCAATAAAAACAAAGATTAAAATTAATTCTCAGAAAAAGACATTTGTATTTTTGATTTTGCTTAGTGTTCATTATAGCACAATTGTATAGGGGAAAAAAAATCAACATTTCACTTTCAAAAATGCTCTCTTGAATAAAAAGGGCTTTTTTCTACGCTTCCAAGAAATTACACTCATCCCATTTGTTTTCAAATTAAATATTTTTCTTCCATTTCCTCAGCTGCCAGAGGGCTACTAATAAAGACGATATCATTGTTGTGATTGATCTGTCATTATTACGGCGTCCAGAGTTACCACAGGAGAGCGTTTCCTTCCAATTCTTGGCCAACACTGTAGACGTATTATCCTCCATAAGTTTCTGAACCGTCCCTGATCGTTCCTCTACAAGCAAGTTCACCATGAATTTTGTCCGCCCAGCCCCATTCTCACTCCAACAGGTATAGGTCCCTGTCAGGTTCAGGCTGACATGTTCAATAAAGAGGGCATTGTGAGGAAGGACAGAAACACTGTCTAGTAGTTCACTACCAATAGAGGGCAGTTGTTGCCTATGAGAGGTAAATGACCAGTGAATGATGACTGACAGATTTGAGGTGATGATTGGGCAAGGTATCTCGACGGACTGATCACCAATGAATGTCAACAGTGTCTGCAGTGGCTGAGAACACAGTTGAGGCAGACATGTGAAGTTGTTGGACATGGCCAGTTCAGCTAAACTAGAATTGGAATAACCAGCAGGTTGACTGCAAACAACAGGATCATCTATCCAGGACTCCAGCATACGGACAGCCATGATCAGGTCACAATCACATAACCAAGGATTATCTTGTAAATCCATTACTATTGACTTCAAAGAGAAGGACAAGAAACTAATATCAAGTGTTGTCAGTAGATTGCCTGCAAGATGTAAAGTTGCCAAGTTCTTCTGATGTTCCAGGGCACGGAATTTGAAAGACACAATTCTGTTGTAACTCAGATCCAGTACCCAGAGATGTTGAAGTTCTCCAAAAGAATCTTTATTGACACTCCTGATTCTATTGCGAGACAAGTTCAGAGAGTCTGCATAGTTTGGCAAGCAATATGTAGGAATAGAACTAAACAGATTATTGGATAAATCTATCACTTGTAAATATTTAATATGTAATAATGGACACTGGTTTCTAAGTTCATTGGACGACAGGGAAATACGCCGTAGGTTTGGGAAATTTGTGAAAGGTAAGACACTTGCTTTGTTGATGAAAAATTGTCTTAAAGCCATGTTTTTGTCAATGTTTAGTGAATATACAAGTTGAATGTCCTCCAACACATGAAGGGACAAATTTGAAAATGGCATATTAGCAAGTTTAAGATATTCAAGACCCTGTATTCCCATAAATGGCCGACTTGACTTATATGTCAAAGGATTTCCACTCAGTTCAAGAGTTTTCAGATCCCCAATATATGAAAACACCCCAGAAGGAAGGTGGACTATTTGATTTCTTTCCAGATTCAGAGTTCTAACAAGCTGAAGGCCAACAAAGGATAAATTTGTTACTTTGACTATCATATTGTCAGCCAATTCAAGAAATATGAGAGAGGATGCTAGGGAGAAAGTGTAATCAGGTATGCACGAGAGGTGGTTTTTATAGAGGTAAAGTCCCATCAAACCGGGTGTAATACGAACCTGGTTGAAATCGGTCAGGTTATTGCTGGATGCAAAAACATTATACCCAGATAACAAACTTGAATTTAATGATCCAATCCGATTGTTGTTTACAATGATACTTACAAGTGGAGCATGAGTGGATATAACCTCAGCTATTCTGTTACTCTCAACATTGATATATAGAATTCTGTGATCCAATACATGATTAAAATTCATACGAGTTAAGAAATTAAAACCGATGTCAAGTCTTTGAAGAGAAGGCAAGTTGATGTTTTCAAACTCTACAATAAAATTGGAAGCTAACTGCAAAACTCTAAGATTATTTAGATTAGAGAAGTCATGGGGGTGGATGGTCCTCAGCTGGTTGTGACTTAAAGATAGAGTTTCAAGTGATGGCATCGAACTGAAAAAACCAAGTTTTGAGATTTGATTTTGGCTAAGGTTGAGAGTAACAAGCCTTGGTAGGTGGTCAAAGGTTGCATTTCCTATCACATGAAGGATGTTGCCTGATAAATCAAGACGTCTCAGAGCAGGCAAAGCTGTGAAGTTTAGGAGTTCTGACAACTTATTGTAGCTTAGGTCAAGGGTAAGAAGACTAAACGAGTCGATGAGGCTGTTATCATCCAAGGTTTTGATGGAGTTATGACAGAGAAACAGCCACTTTAGGGCAGGTAGGTTTTCAAAGTTTTTCACACTCCCGATTTGGTTATAGCACAAGTTGATGTATCTTAGAAAACGATGTTCATACTTGAGAGATATCACATCTTTAATGAAATTGTTTGAAGCATAAAGACTAGATAAACCAGGGAACGGATGAATGGAAAAGTTACCAAGATGGTTGTTGTCGATATATAGAATTACTACGTTTGAATAGTTCCCTGCAGGATTCATGTCCATAACTGATATTTTGTTGCGGCCAAGAAGAAGGCTCGATGGTACACTGAAGTCCGAGTGAGGCATATAACAAACAATTTCATTATCGTTAAGATAGATGACAGCTATGTTTGGAATGTTAGTAAAAGCAGGGTGACGGATATGTCTTATACTGTTTTTTGCCAGTATTATATCTGTAATGTATGACATGTTTCTGAAGGGTGAGACATCAACAATTTTATTTCTTGCCAGGTTAATTCTTTTAAGTGAAGGAAGGTAGGCAAATGTTGTGTCAGCAATGCTTCGAATTCCATTGTATTCCAGGGAAAGTATCGTAAGATTGTCCATCTTCTGCAACTTCTCCAGGTACTCTACATTATTTTTATCAATATTCAGCTCTAAAATCACTTCAGGATGTGTAAACACTGCATTGGACAGATCAGTAACAGTGTTTCCTTCAAGATTAAGGTTCCATATTTTGAAGGGAACTTTTGGTGCATCAGATAGTTTGTTGTATGCCAAACTCATCTTGAAAGGCTGTCTTTCTGGCATACTAGAAAGAAACAACTGTGGCCACTCTACAAAGAAATTTTTAAAGATAGATACATCAATAAGGCGAGGTAATGAGCCAAGATATGGAATGCTCACAAGTTCATTTGATTCAAATTCGATGTATGTTAGTTTCATCAAGCGTTCAAAAACATTTTTCTCAATGTATTTCAATTTATTTTGTGATAGGAAAAGTTTACTCAACTGGGCTTGGCAGGAGAACGACTTTTTATTTAGTCTAGTGATATAGTTAGTATGCAGGTCAACTTCACCAGCATCGCATGGAATGTCCTCTGGAACATTGTTAAGACCACACCAAGCGCAGTCCACATTGACCAAACCGTTAACCGTGTCACAGTCACAACCAACAGGACATTTTCCTTGGACTGTTCTCCCAATGAAGGCAAGCACAAACAAGAAGATATGAAGATTCATCTTGCCGGTTTAATGGACAGGAGCGAAAGCAGATTGAAGTAGAATGTCCAATCCATAGAAGTCAATCTGGGAACTTTTAGAGTGCAAGCATTTAAAAGCCTGACAAAAGACACCTATGACAAGAGCAGTCCATGATTCCTTCCTTCAAGATTTGAAGAGTGGCTGGTTGTATGCGAACTTAAAGTCTTCAAGGTAGAAAACAAACAATGTATAGCAAGAGCAGAGTAGCTGAGGGAGAATGTTCTACAAACTGCATGCAAATGCAGAAGCAGATCATTGAATGATCTAAATGTCTTATGTTTGGATGTATACTGCTGATCATGCCCAGACAAAGTTTTCCTTTCCTCTTCCTACCATTCTCTTGTTCGGAAGCAATTCTAAGTTAATTGAAGCGGGAAAAACGCTTGATCTGACTGCTGCTGTAAAAAGAAATATTACCCAACATCATGCACGATGCTTTGATTCCTCATTTTGTGACGTAAAGACTCAATAGTTATAGAATATAGTCATTTCCTGTTTGATACATAATGAAATGGAAATACTAGAGGGCATGAATGCTAATTGGCCTTCAATCCATGTTTCAAAATGGCATCTCAAGATAATTAGCTTTCAATCAGATCTTTGTATTAGTACCTGAGGGATTCATTAAAGGATAATAAGATACTTTCAAACATATCCATTGATTTTGTGTGTGTACTATATTTTCTGGAACACTGGAGGCAGCATAACGAAAATCTATATGCTTGTAGATTATAACAAGATACCAAGTTTCAGAGCACGGACAATAACTGGAATGTCCAAAAAAAGAAAAGAAAAAAAAATGACCCATGGATGAGGTCATCAGTACTTGATGAATTTGAAAATTTTCCTGTTACGTCTAATGAGAATGATGACCCATGACTGCACCAAAATTGAAAGAAATTGACTGTATTGATCTTGAGTTATCCGTTGCACAAAAAAGAATGAGAAAGAAATAAAAAGAAAGAATAATAAGAAAGAAAGAAACATTGCACCCATGGAGAATATCATAAGTTTTTAGAAACGATTTCATCAACTGTGAGCTCAATGGTATACAAAGGTATATCGTCCAGGCATGTTATTGTTAAAATTGATTCGATAACAAGATCAATACCTCTTGACATAAAAAACAGACTGAGTGTCCTAAAAAAATCAGATTTTCATGAAAACTTGACTCTACCACTGGCCTGTCGGCCCCGACCCAGTCAAATTACAGGAAAATGTTTTACTGTGAAAAACCCGGGACACAAAAAAACTGAACTCAAAAAAGGAAATATGCTTGGCAAAAGTGAACACTAAAACTGCTAAACTAAAGTGACTGAGGGTTAAAAAGTCCCATACCAAATTGTATAAAAAAAAATGGAAATGGAAATTACAGAAAGAAAGGCACCCAAAACGCTGCTAGGAGTCAAAAACTCCAAATTTTGCGTTAGTGACTTACCTGTATCGATTGACAGCGAAAAAGAGAGAGGAAGTTGCATGGGTGCGTGGTGCACACGTGCAAGCTAGGTGGGATAGCGGGGTCTTGGGGTGGGGTATGCACAACTGTGACTTTTTTTATTTTGATGACTGCTTTGTCTGGAAGACTAATCAATAATAGGTAGATACATCTGATTTATTGTGGTAAATTACGTATTGATGATGGAATAAAATCCTTTTTATACAGGGGTTGTATAAAAACATATTTGCAATAATTATTTTTAGGGTGAATGTATGATTAAAAATTTACTTATAGTTTTAAGTTTTTTTTTGTACAGGACAAATGTGAGGGGACCTTGCAAGATACGTCACAGAGTTGCTAATTCATGTTTGATTGATCGCACCTCTAAAATTCATAACTTTCTTATTTTTGATAGGTTTTCACCGGCCCTTTCTCTCTCATTTTTCTGCTTCTATCAAAACCAACTTAATATCAGGGTGGACTTCCCTTATCAAGGATGCCTCTTTTGCTTTACATGTACAAAATGGCTCATTCTCACATGACACGTGACACATACATGTATAACCTGTCTACTATGAAACTAGACCTACATGCAGTATACATGTGGTACATGTGTACAATCTAACATTTCTTAACTCTCATAAAAAGAACCATACAAAGTGTGTGCACAATTAGGACTCGGAGGAAAATTTGTCTGCAATCTTTAATTTAAAAAATGACATTGTTCATATTATTTGTGCCAATTTCACAATCACAAATCGGCGCCTTCAACTTTACCTCGTAGCAAAATGAAAGTCGCTTGGCTTTTCAAACATACTACGTTGTCTGCTAAAATAACACTTTTTCTTTTTTTTTGTCTTAAAAATAGGGGTGCGTCTTATACACAGATATTTATGGTAATTGAGTTCTGACTGTCTTGAATCAACAATGAAAGATTGATTACATATACATAACATAATAAATAAAAATTAAGTGTACAGCAAGGTTTTGGAATTATCAATATGATAAATTGACTCATTCTTAAACTAGGAAAGATAGATAAATAGATATAGGAAAATGTTCTACAACCTGCATGCAAATGCGCTTGCTATATCTATAGCTATGTGTGCGCACTTAATTAAGCCTTATTAAACTTGAGATTTTTTTGTGAGCCATAAACTGTCACGAAACAATCTTGAATGAATTCTTTTTACATGAATTAACAAGGATCTAGGAGCTTCGTTGTATAAAACAAATGATGCATGTTTTCATTCGTTCATTATACGATCTATCCACCCTCATTGATGCTGTGTGTATCTATCGCACTCTGTCTAACGGCTTCGTGAAATAGATACAGTACATGTACACACAGCCTTAACTCGAGTGCTAATAGATAGTATAATAAACTTGTGCGCATGCATCATTTGTATAATATTGAAGCCATACGAAAATTGTGCTTCAAAATGATCAAGAAGTGCCTCAAAAAAAGTAAAAGCTTTTGAGTGACCGGTTGTACCATACTTGTTTTTCCCAATAGACTGTAGTGTTATGAAAACCGTTAGGAAAATGTAAAATTTGATTTTGATTACCAATAAAAAATATCTTGATAATCAGACAGGCGCTCGGCTTGTGAAAGTCATGGGGTTCCTGACTGACCTAAAGGTTAATAATTATCATTGCAGCATGAGCTAAATCCAGGAAGGTGTTTCACAAAGATTCTAAGTCGAACTTAACTCTAAGTTAGACTTAAATATTATGGAGAGCCATTTGTAGAATTATAATGAAATATATTCAAAAGCAAAAATTCAAGTATTTTAGACTTTTCATAAATTCCACATCAAGAACATGAAATCTCCCATGATAATAGAAAATAAGAATGATTTAAATCAACATTTTATGCCTTTTAAATAACTTTTACAAATTATTTTCAATGATGCTAATGGCTTTCCATAATTTTTAAGTTTAACTTAGAGATAAGTTCAACTTAGGATCTTTGTGAAACACCCCCCAGGATTTTGTTTCTGAATCTGTGACAAAGTAACCCGATCCTTTTAAAGGAAAAACAAATACTTTCAGACATATCCATTGATTGTGTATGTGTATTTTTTTTTCTGGAAGTAATCACAGTGATTTATCATGATTTTAAGCAGTTTCAAGAGCAGATTATTACGAAAAGCGTATGAAAAAAATTGTTAAACATACTAAAAATAAGATATTAGGATGAGTGATGGTCAAGAGCAAGTGGAAGCATAAAAATATCAAGTCAACGCAAAGCGTAGCATCCCCTCGCAGGGTACAAATGGCCTCTATACGTCAGAACAAGTACCTCCATTGGACTATACTAGGCAAGGAAGTTAACCACATTTTCACATATATAATTAGGTGTTTTTGCATATTTAATGAGCTATGACCTTTCACCTTTGACTTACATACTCAGAAATCGAACTTAGGCTGATCATGTATTTTGATACCATGAACCTTCACATCAAATTTCATTCAAATCCGTCAAACAATACTAAAGTTATGGATCGGAAACCAGATTCGCATATTTAATGAGCTATGACCTTTGACCTGCATACTTGAAATTGAACTTACAGTAATTAACTTTGTATTAACCGCACTTTTTTGCCGCCGAAAAAATTCAAAGTCGGGGGTGCGTCTTATACACGGTACACACAATTTTTTTTGTTTTTTGTTGTTGATGTATGCCCCTCCACCTGGCGCTATGCCTGGCAATGTCTCCCAGCTCAGTAATCGGTGCGTTGACTCCCCAATCGGAAACTAGAACTATTTGGTTTGAAAGTAATAGTTCTGATAGATCTCAATATGTAGTTTATAATAATAATTCCTCCAATTTTTCTTCCATTACACTGGGTACCACAAGGTTCTATCCTAGGTCCTCTGTTTTTTAATTTACATTAATGATCTTACACATTGAGCTGCATCTCGCAGTCCAGCATGGGATATTTTTTGGGGGCGAAAAAGAGGGGTGCGGTTAATACACCGTTAATTACGGTGGGCCGTATTTTGATACCATGTACCTTCATATAAAAAAATTCATTAAAATTTGTCAACATTACTCAGGTTATCGAATGGAAACCAGATTCACATATTTAATGAGCTATGACCTTTGACCTACATACTCCGAAATCGAACTTAGGCTGAACATGTAATTTGATACCATGAACCTTCATATTAAAATTCATTAAAATCCGTCAAACGATACTAATTACTAAAGTTATGGATCGGAAACCAGATTCGCATATTTAATGAGCTATGGCCTTTGACCTACATAGGCTACTCGGAAATTAAACTTAGGCTGTGTTTTGATACCATGTACCTTTATATCCAATTTCATTAAAATCCGTCATACATTACTTAAGTTATCGATCGGAAACCAGATGTATATTTTTTTGCATATCAATGTTGAGTGTAAGAGGAAGACTCCGGAAGACTCCGGAAGACTCCAGAATGATCACTATTATATACCTCACTTAAGAAATCCAGCCATCTGATTGGTCGAAATTGCAGTCATGGTTTTAACTATTCCTGTAAAATTCCCGGTAAAATTCCAGTTACCGGAAAAATAGTTTAGTCTTAGTGAAATACCCATAGGTTCACATGTTAAAAACTGGTTTGAGCGATCGAGGATACCGTACGTGTGCGAAGAATTGGTCGGTATTTTTGTATACGGCAATCTTGATCGTACTGAATTCCAAACAAGGCAAAAATGGCTGAAGAAACTGTCCCAAGATTTCAACATCTTGATCATGATCAAATGCAAGACTTGCTGCCAGCAAGAACACCAAAAAGGGTACGTGAAATTCTCCATAATTTTTTTTCAAAATAGATCTACCGGTAGTAGGCCTAGATTCTAGTAGTAGGCCTAGTGCTAAAATCCTTCCCCTAGAGATTACACACATCCCTATGCATTGGCCATTGCGTGCTCATGCTTAATTGGTCGATGTTTTAATTACCAGAGATTCAAACTAATATTGCTCGTGATCCTGAAGGTGATACTCAATAAGTGAGGTGTCATATGAAAGCACAGGTTTTTCTCCATATTCCCCAAAGTGACGGCTCACCCCCAAAATTGTAAAAATATCTTGCTTAGACTAGAATCTAGATCTAGTCTACTCTCAAAGATACACTCATAAAAAACAACCGTGCAGATAAACTAGAGAAAGGCCAAGGTGGTGTCATAAGTTGACTCTTTTTTTTTGGCATATAAAAGTTATAATGACTGCTTTAATATTCGAGAAATAGTTAGCGTATAAAAACAACCATTTCTCTCGAAGCAGTCATTAATACTATACTATTGAATTCTAAATAATTTTGAGGAGACATGTGGATTATTTAACGTGCACGACATCTAGTGAGCTCTTTAGTGGAGAAGGAATAAACATGTGAAGATTGGATGATTGGAATAGAGAAAACGCATGAGTAAAATTAGTGGCTTGGTGATTTACTCTGCGGGATGGAACGCCTCAGTCCCACACATACACGCACTCACGCATTCTGGTAAACGACTATTTTATATACCTTTCTACTCTTCATTACTGAACCTTGTATGAATCATTTGAATTTGATAACACCGATATATATGGTGGCTCCTAAGGGACACGCAAACGCAAAATTTGACGTATACCTATGCAACAAATTTGTGGATTTTCACGTCAAAGACGTGAAAATCCACAAATTTGACGTATACCTTTGCTTGGTAATTTTTTCGTTTTTCTGTTCTCAATGGCCCTGAAGGGACACGCAGACATAAAAATCTGCGTCCAATATTCACGTCTGCGTCTCCCGAAAGGGACACGCAGACGTGAAAATCTGCTGGAAAATCTGCGTCCAATGTTCACGTCTGCGTCTCCCAAAAAGGAAACGCAGACGTGAATATTTGACGTGAAATTTTTTCAGTAAGCTGAGCACCAGGAAGATAAGCGTTCTGCTATGTTTTAAACAGCGTTATCTCGACATTAATTGTACACCACTTCATTCTATTTCATGGACTAAAATTGATATATACTATAGAAGGCCTAGATGCATTACGCTTTGAAATTTGTAAACATATTTTGCCTGTACCAAGCAATTACTTCTTTTTGTGCATCTTGTTACCATTTGCCCCCCCTCCTATCACATCCTTTTATTCTCTCTCTCTCTATTTCTTTCCATCTCTCTATCTCTCCTATCCTTCGATCCTT